GCTGTGAGGTGAAAGGCAGACTGGGATCAGAGATGAGATCCTGGTCCTATGGACAGACCAACCCGGTTGAGCTGAAGTAAGCTGCCTTGGCTCACATATCAGGTATCAGATGATAGGCTGGTTTCCGGGTAGGCATCCATCACTTTCTGAGGCCATGCAAGGGAGTTGCATCCTCATCTAAAACATTTTAAATGAGTAAATATATGTATTTAAGTTATATGTGTATGTATACGTATATGTGTATAGATAGATAGACAGAGAGAGAGAGACAGACAGGGTCTCATTACACAGCGCTGACCTGGAACTTCCTATGTAGTTCAGGTTGGCCTTGACTCAGATTCACCTGCTTCTATCAAGTGTTGGGATAAAAGGGGTGTGCCATTATGCCTAAGGATTTTATTTTTTATTTTAGATTTATTTATTATGTATGCAACATTCTGCCTCCATGTATCCCTGCAGGCCAGAAGAGGGCACCAGATCTCATTCCAGATGGTTGTGAGCCATCATGTGGTTGCTGGAATTGAACTCATGGCCTCGGAAGTGCAGCCAGTGCTCTTAACCTCTGAGCCATCTCTCCAGCCCGCCTAGGGATTTTTTAAATTTTATTTTTCATTTTGAGATAGGGTCTCACTGTGATCCTGACTGCTTTGGAACTTTCAATGTAGACCAGGCTGACCTTGAATTTATATCCTCTTGCTTCTGCCTCCCTAGTACTGGAATTAAAGAATGATAGGGTTTTTAATACACCCATCTTCCCTGTATTCTCAACTCAGCCTGATAGATTTGTGAAGTGCTCCTTTTCTCCAGTCTGTGCTGCATGGGTAATCAGATGGCTAAGTTTTTTGATCTACCCAGGGACTGTAGTCGTTCTTTTCCCTCAAAATGGAGTCAGCTTGTAGAATGGTGTCTTTCAGGGCAAGACAGCCTGAAAAACTGTTTTCTAGTGTGGAGTGACAGGCACAACCTGAGCTCAGATGTCTCTCTGAAATTCTGCAGTAGCTCTCCTTTCATAAGGTTTATTGTTTTCAGTTGAAATTTGTAGTGAGCTGTGTAATGTTGGTGCACACTTTTAATCCCAGCACTCAGGAGGCAGAGGCAGGCGGATCTCTGTGAGTTCTAGGCCAGACTGGGCTACAGAGTACCTGTACAGCCTGGGCTACACACAAAAACCCACAGAAAACCAAAAATAAAATAAAGTTAAAAATTAATTTATAATTTTTTAAATTATAAAAATGTGGGGCTGGAGAGATGGCTCAGTTAAGAGTACTGGCTGCTCTTTCAAAGAACCCAAATTTAATTCCTAGTACCCATATGGTGATGGATCACAGACATCTATAACTCCCTGGCCTCTTTGGACATCTGACTCACAAATGGTACACAGACATACAGGCAGGCAAAACACTCAAAACAAATAAAGTAAGAAATAAAAACTGTTGAAATAAATTTATAAATAAAAAACAAACCCAAAACTACTATATCACAGTCAACTGAAAGTGTAGGACCAACGGAAACCTCAAGATGGAGGTTATGAATGGATTTCACTGGTAGACTACATGCTGATCTCCACACTCAAAAAAGGAAAAATTGACAGTCAATGTAATCCACCATATCCACAGGTAAGAAGTATATAATTATACCAACACTTGGTGGGGAGAATGACAAAACTATGCCATTTATCAATCAAGAAAAGGTCAGAAAGCTATTGAGATTCAGAGGAAAATACTGTTACCTGCAAATAGTGCCAAGAACTAACCAAAAAAAAAAAAGAAAAAAAAAAGGAATTAATCAGATACTACAGCAAACTTGTAGGATTCAGGATCAGCATACAAAATTCCATATTCGTGTATATCAGAAATAAAAAATAGGAACAGGATGTGAAAATAAAAACATTACACTGCATATACCACTAAGAAGAAAGACACAGAAAGTGATACATACAAATATGTAACACAGAAGTGCAGACGTTAACTGAGGATTTCTTTTCTTTGTCTTTTTTTTTTTTTGAGACAGGGTTTTGCTGTGTAACAACGGCTGTCCTGAAACTGCACTGTAGACCAGAATGGCCTCAACTCAGATTAAAGGTGTACAGCACCACTGCTAACAATTTTTATATGCATGAATGTTTTGCTTGCATATGTCTGTGCACCACTTGCATGCCTAGTGCCTGCAGAGGCCAGCAGAGGACATCAAATCTTCTGAAATTGTAGCTACAGATGGTTGTGTGTTGCCCTGTGTGCTGGGAATTGGACCCAGGTCCCCTGAAAGAGCAGCTGGCTTCTAAACCACTGAACCACCGCTCCAGCCTCACTTTTCATTAATTAGCATGTGTTTTTTTATTTAGGATCTTGTGTAGGCAAGAATGACCTTGAATTCCTGATTCTCTTGCCTCTTTCCAGGTGCTGGAATAAAAGGCATGCACCACGATACAATTTAACAGTTTCATATATGTATATTGTTTTCATTATTTCTCATTATTGTAATGTCCCACTTTCTAATTTCCCTTCACCCTTAGTCAACTCCTGCTTACAATTCCCTTTGAAATATCCATGTCTCATGTCCCCCTCTGTCTCCATTTTTGTTTTGAGATCCACTGTGTTTTAATCAGGATCATCTGTGTGACCATGGTGAACCTATCTATTGTAGTTTGGTGGGCGCATCAGTGGTTACACAGCTGAAGACATTGACTTTCTCTTCCAAAATCCCTCAGTAACCATACTTCAAGGAAGAGTAATCACCGATTCATGATTGTCAGGTCCATTGCTTTTGTCAAGTCATAACAGCATTAGCATCAGCTCTGCTATGCCCAGAAATCAGCATTTTACATCCGATTTTGCTATCTTCTGGGATTTTTTTTTTTTTTTTTTTTTTTTTTTTTTTTTTTTTTTTTTTTTTTTGCTTTTCGAGACAGGGTTTTCTCTCTGTAGTCCTTGAACTCACAGAGAGCCTGCTGACTGCCTCCTGAGATGAAGGCGTGTGTCACTACTGCCCTGTTGGACCTTTCATTCTTTGTGCCCCTTCTACAGTGATCTCTAAGCCTTAGAAGTGGTATAAATGTCTTGTGGCCAAACACTCAGGTGTCAGTTTACTCTCAGCACCTTGAGTGGCTGTGCATCTCTGTAGTCTCTGCAGAGAGATGCTTCTCTGATTTAGACTGGGAATAGCTTTTTGTTGTTTTTAAATACAGGGTTTCTCTGTAGCTTTGGAGCCTGTCCTGGAACTAGCTCTTGTAGACCAGGCTGGCCTTGAACTCACAGAGATCCGCCTGCCTCTGGCCCTCAGTGCTGGGATTAAAGGCGTGCGCCACCGCCCGACTGGGAGTAGCATTTGTGTGTGTGTATAAATATAAATGTGGGTAGCTGGGTGCTTGGACAGTTGGACCAAACAATACTGCTATGTTCATCCCTCAGTCTCAGGCATGGACTTTTAGCTGGATTTACTGTGCTGGCACTGCTTCTCTTATGGAGTGAGCCTCAAATTCAGTTAGAGAGCAGTCTGGTTGTCCTTGGAACAATTATACCACTATTGTACCTTTGTTGGCAGGTTGGTATTGTATGTTATAGAGATCACAGATGGGTAAGACATTTTGCCATTCCTCCCCAGCAGCCTGCATTGCACCTTCTAGCACTGTGAAAACCAGCCAGCAGGGAGGAAGCTTTCAACTCAATTCCAGTTTGAATTCTCACTGCATTGTAACCAGTGTGGGCAGCCACGAGGAGCAGAAGTGGATGTGTTATTTGGGGAACCTCTGGGGCTTCCCTGAGCAATAGCTAATAAAATAAAGAGGTAACTCACTGCTGCAGTGGAGTTACGGCTTAGTAGCCATTGGCTTTTAGGAGCATCATTTTTATAGATCTCTCCTTTGTAACTTGCTTTTATTATTTTCTTTGAACTTACATATGACCTAACTATAGCTCTCCTGGGCCCATGATCAAAGGACTCCATATTCTACTACAGGAGATACTTGCACAACCGTGTTCATTGTTACTCTTATCTGTAATAACTGGGGAATGGGAACAGCCTAGATGTCCATCAGCTGGTGAGTGGGTGATAAAAATGTGGTGTACATATATAATGGGCTTCCTCTCCCATTGGGTGCTAGCTTCACACCCTGCTGTGTCTTAACTTTCAGCACTTGTAGGAAAGGACCTTCGAGGGAACTGTTAAAGAGTGGAGGAAATTGTAGCACAGGTGATAACAATGAACAGGAGAATTGGGGGTGAGGAGTTCAAGCATGGGGGTGGGAATTGGGCAATGAGGGTGATACAGGGGACAGGAAAAATTTGTGAAACTAGGGATGCATGGACAAGTCTCATGGACACCTACTACTTTTAGCCAAGTGAATTTACTTTTGTAAGTTTTTTTGCTATAGAGATCATAAAACATTCTGATTCTCAATATTTGTGATGTTTCCAATTTCAGCATACTGAATGGCTACTAATTTTACTGCTTTTATTTTCATCTATTTATTTTTTGTTTTCTTGGTCTTATTCTGTAGCCCATGCTGACCTAGGATTTATAGGTTGGTTTGCTGGCCTTCCTTGAAATTGCAGCATTCCTCCCGTATCTGCTTCCTGATAGCTGGATTTAGAAGCATCTGCCACCAAGTCTTCAGGGTTCCACACTACCTCAGTAACTCTGTACTCAGTATTATTAATGTTTGTTCTGCTGCATGTATGCCTGTGCCCTGTGTATGTCTGGTGCTCATGGAAGTCAGAAGAGGGTGTCAGATCCCATTGGACTAGAGTTCCAAATGGTTGTGAGGCACCATGTGGTGCTGGGGCTGAACCTGAACCCTCTATCAGAGCAAGTGCTCTTAAGTTCTGTAGTTCTATGCTCCAGATATTTTGATAAAAATTGGTAAAGGTGGGGGCTGGAGAGATGGCTCAGTGGTTAAGAGCACTACCTGCTCTTCCAAAGGTCCTGAGTTCAATTCCCAGCAACCACATGGTGGCTCACAACCATCTGTAATGAGGTCCGGTGCCCTCTTCTGGCCTGCAGACATACGCACAGACAGAATATTGTATACATAATAAATAAATAAATATAAAAAAGAAACTTATAAAAAAATTGGTAAAGGTCTCAGGACTCTGGCCATTTTTATGTTTATTTTCCAGCTTAATTGTTTGTTTTTATAGATTTGTTAAATATAGATTGAGTGTCACAGTGTCACCCTGGTTGGTCTGGAATTCACTCTGTAAATTAGGCTGGCCTTGAATTCAGAGACCCACTCTGTCTCTGAAATGCTGGGATTAAAGGTGTACACCACTACCTCCTCCTGGATAAGAACAGCCATTTTAGCTCTGAGCACTAAATGACCATTTTTTTTAGCTCAAAACTTTAAAATCCATCTACAGTGCTCCTCCAAAACAGTATGGTCAAGCTCACCAAAGCAATATGATAACAATTGCTGTCTTAGTTTGCTTTTCTGTTGGCCACTGACCAAAACCAGCTCGTAGAACAAGGGATCTAACTCAGCATGCTCATAGAGGGAAGCCAAGGCAGCAACCAGGAGGTAGGCAATGAAGCAGAGGCCCTGAGGAGTGCTCCATACTGCATTCCTTGCTCAGCCTGCCCAGGGGCCACAGCAGCTTGGAAACTCACATTAATCACTGACCAAGACAATTTCCACAAATATGCCAAGAGTCCAGTCTGATGGAGGCAGTTCTTCAGTTGAGGTTACCACTTCCTAGGTGGCTCAAGTTTGTGTCAAGTTGACACAAACTAACCATCAATCTCTTAAAAGAATTGGCATATAATCCTAGTAGTAGGGCAAGATTCTACCCAAATATGTGATAGTTCTGTTTTTAATGTTTGAGAAATGTCCATTTTGACCAGCAATGAATAAGGCCCCTTTTCCCTGCCTCCTCACCAGTATTTGCTGTCATTTGTTTTATTGATTACACCCATTTTGGCTGGTGTGAAATAGAGTCTCAAAGTAGCTTAACATTCCCCTAATAGCTATCGATACCAAATCTAGAAAAACTTTATTGGCTGTTGGTTTTGTTTTGAGAATAGCCCAGTTCTTCCGCGAGGGTCTTTTGTTCCTTTGTCTAAAAGTGGGTCTGTTTTTGTGGGATTGTTTCTAGGTTTTCTGCTCCAGTGATCTGTTTACTGCTTACCAAATGCGAATGCACGCCCATGACTGGCAGTTTTACAGGAAGCCTGGAAGTCAGGTAGTATCAGTGGGTGTGCTCCTTTCCTCAGTTGTAGCAGCATTCTTCTCACCCTTTCCATGTAGCCCTTAGGTTCAGTTTTGGTTATATTCTGGCTTTAAATGTTATGAGGAGTATGTTGAATTTTATAGTGCAGATGGAAGATGCATAATGTCTTAAAATGATGAGACCCTCTGTGATGGTAACTTTGTTTTCGTTTTTCCTTCCTTAGAAATGTTTGGTTTTTATCTAAGGCTTTTCTCTTAGCTACACATTGTTTTAATGTGAGGTGCTGTACACATGATGTAGAATTGGTATTTGTACACCCAGTTGTTCACTGCTGTTAGAGGAAGATGATGGTCTTTTGTGTATTGATATATCATAAGGTTTTCAGTATCCTTTAGCAGTTCTTAGGTTTTTGTGGATTTTCTGTATGGAAATTTTTTTTCTCAAGCTCACTTATTGATTTGTTATATTACATTGATTCCAAAGTTTTTCTTTTAGAGTCCTGGTAATTGAATCAGGGTGTGAAAATGTGGACAACTGGAAGATAAAGATGACAGAAAAATAAAGATAGCGGCTAGTCACCAGCGTTCAGAGGTGCTCTTCGGAAGGTGCACATTCCCGATAACACACACAATAAATATTGCTGGAAAAGCTGAGAACAATAAAACCAGAGCTAACCACTTAAAACCTTAGATGAAACTTTTACCATAAGTAATCAACTAAGAGACCTGTCTCTGTGCAGGACTACCAGGAAATTTCAGGAAGTACTAACTGAGTCGAGAAGACCTTGTGTAGTAGGTGGCACTTTGAGTGTGGCCTTAATACAGAGAAGTCCAAAGAAGAAGCAGTGTTGCTCTCCTGCCTGCTTTCACTTCTTGCTAGTGAGTGCATCTGTCCCATTGCTGCTGCTGCTACCTCTGCCGCCGCTGCCACCATCCTTCACTGACACTGTGGACCGAAGACCAGAAGCTGTCCACGTGTGCTCCGGGCCTTAGGTACCAGATCGAAGGGTTCCAGCCTTGTGGGCGGAGCCTCTCCATCATGGAGACTGCCATTGTTGGACTCTCTAGGCCGGATCAGGTAAGCCAATCTGATATATACCCTTTGTGGTATCTATTCTTACTGTTTTATTCTGCTAAAGAACCCTATTTGTCAATGGCCACCTATGTTCTCCTTTTTTCTTATGAGTTCACCATTGATGTGGGATGCCCTTTTGTATTTGTGTTGCTTTGTTCTAATGTTGTATTTATTCTAATGCTCTCAGAATTTGGGGAGTCTTGCCATAGTTGCTAGATGTTACTAGGGAAATTAGGAAATTTTCTTGGGAATGTTAATCCTCACTGGGCAAGAAAACTATCACTACCACAATGTTTTGAGCCATGTTTGAAGTAGATTTCATTAAATACTGGCTAGGGTGATGGACACTGACCAGGTCCATACACAGGATTCCCAGAGAATGGACACTGAATTACATTAGATAGGCTTATAAAGGCAAAACCCACAAGGTTACATACTTCCCGCCTTTGTCCAGTTGGGAGCAAGCATACATCCTAATGTATTTCCTGCCTACATACCTCTCTCCTGTATGTGAGCAAGCACATGCTTTGCAGTTGAAGCCACAACCAACATTATTTATAGAAGTGAAAATACATGGATTGTTATCTTACATGAACAAACAACCCCCAGCATTCCAGGAAGTTATCTGTCCCTGGGCAAGTGGGTTTACAGGTTAGAGGCATTATTATTATTATTGTTTTGGTTTGTAGTAGGAGGAGTGGCGGTCTGTGTCCTGCCGCCCGGCTAGCTTATACCCGAAATAATCATACAGAAATTGTATTAATTAAATTACTGCCTGGCCCATTATATCTAGCTTCTTCTTGGCCAACTCTCACATCCTGATCTAACCCATTTCTACCAATCTGTGTAACACCACAAGATCGATTCTAACCAGCATCAGTCTCAGGCAGAAGCTTCATGGCATCTGCCACACTGCTCTTCTTCCAAGCATCCTGTTCTGTCTTCCCTGCCTATCTAAGTTCTGCCCTATCAAAACGCCAAGGCCAAGACAGTTTCTTTATTCAACCAATGAAAACAACATAGACAGAAGGACCTCCTACACCATGGTTTGTATCAACTCTTAAGGGCAGACACAATGGCATTTCTCCACCCAGAGTTAGATTTCATTTGACTGGAAAGAATGAGCTTTTCCTTAATGTGCTTCAGTGCTTCTACAACCTGTAAAGAATCATTTAGGAACCAGAGCAAGTTCAGGGCCTCAAATATTTCTGGCATTTTTGGCCTCTAAGCCAACTCAGAACGAAGGACATTTTCAGTTTCTGCTCAAGAACACAAGTCAAGGCCTCCATCTCTAAACCTCCTGTACCATTTCTTTGTTTCCTGCTCCTCTCCTTTTGCTCACTGAAGAGGTAGCCCTAACTACCATTTTAGGGATTTGGGACTGTAATGGAAAAATTAAAAATGTTGCAGGATCCCCGGTGGCGGCAGGCAGCAGAAACGCTGCACAAGCAGTGGTAGTGGGCAGGCAGCAGGCCCTAAGAGCAGCCAGTTCCAGGCAGGGATAGCTGTAGGTCCCCAGCAGTGGCTGGTCCAGGGCAGGGAGACATGTGGTGGCAGGCAAGAGACAGAGACATAAATAGGCACGCCATGCAGAGTGAGGTTGGATATTTGTTTAGCGGTTATGGAAGGGAGGGGAGAAGGTGAGAAGAGCAGAGAGGGGAAGGGAGAGAGAGAGAGAGAGAGAGAAGGAGGGAGGGAGGGAGGGTTAGAGAAGGGAGAGATGGAAGCTGCCTCTTCAAGAGGAAGACAGAAAAGAGAGAACTCAGGCTGGAAGCTGAAGATCAACCTGTCTCAGCAGATCGGGGAGGGAGTGGGCATGGCTTGTCTCTTAAAGAGACAGAACAATCATTACAGGGATAATAGTTTATTTTGCTTCTTTGAGGTTTGATGTGGGATTTTTCTCTGTATGCTTGAATACCATTAATGAATAAAGAAACTGCCTTGGTCTGTTGATAGGGTAGAAATTAGGTATGCAGGGAAAACTAAATGGCATGCTGGGACAAAGGAGGCAGAGTCAGAGGGACACCATGGATCTGCCCCTGGAGATAGATGTGCTGGAACTTGGCTGCTAGGCCACAGCCTCATGGTGATGCACAGATTAATGGAGATGAGTTAAATTAAAATGTAAGAGTTAGCTAATAAGAAGTTAGAGCTAATAGGCCAACCAGTGATTTAATTAATACAGTTTCTGTGTGGTTATTTTGTAAAGTAGGTACAGCATTTGGTGTATTCCTTCTTGGGTCTCTTTTGGGAACCTCAGATCAGCATTCATGGTTAAATTTGTGTGGCAACCAGGTGAATTAAGGAAAAGAAGTCCTTTGCTGGAACTTTGAAAAAGAAGTAAAGGAAGATTAAGACTGAGTAAGACCAGTAAAAGTGAAGTTGGAATAGTTTGAGCAGTGGATTGACTCCAACTTGCCAGGAGCAGGCATGATTAGAAGCTTAACGTTGGAGGGCCTAGGCAGAGAAGCTGTTATCATACAGCCCATAGTCACTTTTGAGAGACTGTGTTTGATCTTCTAGAGTTTGGAAGTGATTAATAAACTGTCAGAAGGAAAATAGGAGTGTTCAGAATTGCCATGCTTATATATCTCATTCATGCCGAGTCATTTATTCTTATTTATGTTCATGTGTGGTCTTAGACAGAATATTGTTTCCTCAGGCCAGAAGAAGTTAAACTCTGAGCCTGAATCCCAAGGACAAACAGCCTCCTGAGCCCTAATTTAATGCCGCTGTATCAGATGATAGGGTGTTCCTGGGATAGGAAGTGGAGATAACTGGAGAAAGGGAAGGGGTGGGGAGCAGCTCATTTCTTGAGTGCAGTAATGAGGAGAGTGATCTGTCTGCCGTCCCTGAACATCATTCAGTGTTTTGCTAGAACTCGTGCGTCATGGAATGCGTGTGTGAAAGCCACACAGTTATGCTGTCACACTGTCAGATGTGGACAGATGTCGTTCTCACCCACTCCTTTATATACAAATATGGAATGTTGGGTGGTGGGAGGAGGGGCGGAAATGGAAACTTTTATAATTTAATAAAATTACAAAAAAAAAAATATGGAATGTTTTAGGACCTGGTGAGCTTTGAGGATCTGGCTGTGAACTTCACCCAGGAAGAGTGGGATTTGCTGGATCCTTCCCAGAAGAGTCTCTATGGAGATGTGATGCTGGAGACCTGCAGGAACTTCACTGCCATCGGTGAGGATAACATCTTACCTTCACTTTGTAAACTAGAGAGCAAGGGTTTCTAGTTATTGATGGTCACTGTGATTCGGATGTGGAGAGGGAAGAATGTGGTGAAGAAATTAGGTGTAGTGACAATGTACATCCTAATAATCTATCACACATTACTGTACCAATATTTTAGGATACGAATGGGAAGACCAGAAAATTGAAGAACATGATGAAGATCCTGAGATAACTCTAAGGTAATCTGCATGCACAAGTGCAAGCAAATGTTTCTGGAAGAAATTTTGTGTGCTGTAAAAATTTAAGGGCAGACTAACTAAATAAATAAGCTCAACTTTAAATTTATTCATCAGTAGAAAGTTTTTACCTCAAATGTATTTCTTCGTGTAAGTTTCAAATTTTGCATAGTCTTTTGGAACCAGTTCTGGAACCCTGTGTTAACGAATGCTACCATTTTGATCCTAGGCCTATGGGAACCGTATTGTAGGCCAGCAGTTCATTTATTTTTAGACCCTTCATGTGAAGGCACACATTTTGCTTGTTTTGGGTAGCAGGTTGTCCAAGAAAGATGATCTAATAAGCAAGCAGTGGTAAAACAACTGTGACTAATGTGCTTGTCATTTCGCATACTAGTTACATTTGCAGGTACTCTGTGATACCGAAGAAAGTGGTCAGGGTGGGACAACCTATCCATATGCCAGTCTCAGTATGAGCAGCAATGTGGGTGGAGAAATTTTCATGTGTCATTCATCTTTTAATAGGCACGTCATATCTCACTCTGAATATACACAGTATGAACATGAAGACTGTGAACAGAAGCCACAGGACTCCAATTTTCTTAAAAGTATTGAAGGATGCACGGAAACTCAGACTTCGAGTGGGCCTTCTGTGTGTGAGGTGTGTTTAAAGACCTTTGGACTATATCACCTAACTTATAATGGACATCACAACTATGACTATAAGGAAGCTGGAGGAAGCCAGACTGACGAAAATGATTATGAAGGTAATCAATGCGATAAAACTTCTAGTTCCCTTCAAAAACAAGAAAAAATTCATACTGGAAAAAAACTCTATGTGTGTCAAGAATGTGGTAAAGCCTTTAGGTATCCCAGTGCCCTCCAATTACATGAAAGAATTCATACTGGAGAAAAACCCTATGAATGTAAAGACTGTGGGAAAGCATTTAGAGGTCTCAGTGCCCTTCATTTGCATGAAAGAATTCATACTGGAGAAAAACCCTACGAATGTAAACAGTGTGGTAGAGCCTTCACCTATCTTAGTGCTCTTCAATTACATGAAAGAATTCATACTGAGGAAAGACCCTGTGAGTGTAAACAGTGTGGCAAAACCTTTAGATACACCAGGGCCCTCAAATTACATGAAAGGATTCATACTGGAGAAAAGCCCTATGAATGTAAGCAATGTGGTAAATTCTTTAGAAGTCACAGGACCCTCAAGTTACATAAAAGAATTCATACTGGAGAAAAACCCTATGAGTGTAAAGAATGTGGGAAAGCTTTTAGATGGCTTACTTCTTTGAAGTTACATGAAAAAATTCATACAGGAGAAAAACCCTATGAATGCCAAGAGTGTGGGAAAGCCTTCAGGTGTCAGGCTTCCTATCATAGACATAAAATAACTCATGGTGGAGAAACATTGTATGAGTGTAAAGAGTGTGGTAAGTCCTTCATTTACCCCTCTTTACTTCAAGTGCATGAAAGAACCCACACAGGTGAGAAGCCCTTTGAGTGTAAGCTGTGTGGGAAAGCTTTTAGATGTCAATCTTCGCTTCGGTTGCATGAAAGAACGCACACTGGAGAAAAACCCTATGAATGTAAACATTGTAACAAAGCCTTTTCGAGTTATAATTATCTTCGATTTCATGAACGAAGCCACACTGGAGAGAAACCCTACGAATGCAAAGAATGTGGGAAAACCTTCACACATCGTTCTTACCTTCGGTCACATGAAAGAAGACATACTGGAGAGAAACCGTACCAGTGTGTTCAGTGTGGCAGATCCTTCAGCCGGCATAGTTCCTTTAAGAGACATCAGTCCGTTCATGGAGTGGAAAACCCGTATGAATGTCAGGAATATTTACTTCCTTTATCTCCATTTCCTTCAAATGAATGAAAGAACAGATACTGGCAACAAACTTTGAATGTAAGCTTTTTCCCCATTGACATAAAACACTTGTGGGAACTAAAGACAGGGATGAGCCTTTTATATGTAAACTGTGTGGCATAGCTTTTCAGGGGTCGGGGTGTCCTTCAGCTCCATGAAGGAATTCACTTTGGGCAAAGTTTTTGTTACTAATGTGGTGTCACTCGTCACACTTCTTTCAGAGAAGTAAGTTAATTCCTGCTGGGCAAATGCCCTATGGATGTACAGGATATGTTTAGTCTTTCATTTATCCCCATTTGCCTTAAAATCATACAAACTCATAGTGGTGAAAGGCCACATGTTCAAAAATGTGGAAAAGGCTTCAGGTGTCACATGTCCTTTCAGCAGTATGAATGAACTCTCATGATAGAGAGAAAATGAATGTAAGGTGTGTGAAAGCCTTTAGATATCATTGCTCCCTCACATTCCACGAGGGACTTGTATTAGAAATAGTTTTCTAAGCAAAAATAAAAACTGTGAAGTTTTCAAGGTCACAGTTCTTTCAGAAACTTACAGTGATGGATGGTGAGCAGTTCTGTAAGTGTAAGGATTGTGGGAGCTTAATGGTTGCTGGGAGACGAACATTTCCTTTACAGTGACTGCCTAGGGTCTTGTAAATACCCCCAATTAAACTTGGTGATTCCTTAACCGACGCTTTGATAGAATCGTTCTTTGTTCCTGTCTTTGGTGCCCTGTCTGGGACAGACAAAGTTCACTCTCTAGGGACTTTTAAAGTTGGGTTGTATTTGTGTCAGTGTGAAACATCGAGAAGGAGGGGAGACTGGCTTAAAGTGCTATGTTTCTGCGTTGGGTGGAATTTTGGTTTGCTTCATTTGTCAACTTGATATACTCTGGAGCCACCTGGGAAAGAATCTCAATGCTGAATTATCTGGGTTAGGTTAGCTTTTGGGCTCAGCTATGAGGGAGAATTAAAAGGACAGAAGGAGCTGAGCACAGGCATTCCTTGCTGTCTGCCTTGGGGCTATGGATACAATGTGACCTGTGTCAACTTCTGCCACTGTGACTGGCCCACAGTAATGGGTTGTAACATGGAACCATGAGCTAAAATAAACCCTCTCTCCCCTAAATCGCTTTGGTCAAGGTATTTTATTCCAGCCACAGGACTGAAGCTAAGACTGCCTGGACCTGTGCACAGCGGGAAAACTTGCCTTGTCCCTGACGTTAGTGTTCACAGCACTGGAGGGCTGCCTTCTGAAGGTGCTGTATCCAAGGCTAGAGAATCTTACAGTCCCTGAAAGACTCTTCTATGAGACACACTGCCATCAGAATCATGCTCCTTGTTGCAGGCACTGGAACACGTAATAGGCTGAAGTGACAACTTAGCAGGAGCTTATCCACATGTGCAACTATTCCAGCAAGGAGAGACATCAGGTACTCACCTGTGTTTGCCTCATTGACAGGAAAGGTACAGAGAAAAGAAATGAGATGGAAGAGATGAGGGATTACAGATTAAATTTGTACTTCCCCAAACAACCCAATTCTTCCTGAGATCCCAAACCTGGAACCCGTGGAAAGAATGAAACGAGGAGGTAGAATGGGGTGACAATGAGAGAAATTACCCCTAAGGTCTGAACTTACTAGAAATAAAAAGCTCTTAACAGAGCATGGAAATGGAGGCCTGAGTAGCAGCCCCATACAGGAGACTGATAGCATATGTTCTGCCTCTGAAGGCTTGAAGTTTGAGCAAATGTTTAATGGGAAAGTATAGCTGAGGTGGCCAGTTATGTCCTTAAAAGGTGTGTGTGGTTGTTAGCCCAGTACTATTGGTAGCTGGAGACACCATATGAAGCAACAACAGCATGGTACAGCTCGGTTCCTGAGACTGTTGAACCCAGGGAGCTGTTGGGTTGCAGACGGGAGCATGTCTGAGTTCTTGCCAGTTTGGACAAGAACCAGCTCTTTCTTATTAAGCCTGGTGAGAAGGTACACAACAGACTTGTGGAAGCACCCTTGGGTGGAGATGGAGAATGACTGGGCGGAGCAGGCCTAACTGAGGTAGTACTAACCTATGTATGACATGGTACCAACATATTTTTTCTTGAGGTAGGGTGTCATAGCTGAGGCAGGTTTCATTTTGTACTGGGGATGGAACTTGTGACCTCACTCATGATTAGCAAGCTAACAATTGAGCTGCATCCTCAGCTCAGCATTGATCATGTGAAGAAATAGTATGAATGAGTAATAGAAACACTTGGTACAGGTGATAGAATTTTCATGCTTTTGGATATTGTTAACATTTTATTTATTGTCCTCTTAACTCCTGACTCCCAGTCCAGCTGGTACTTGTTTGGGATGTTGGCTTATGGGCCTTTAGTGATCCTGAGACCCCTGTGTAAAAAGATTTCTTTTACTTCGCCACTGACCTAATACTATCCTGTAAGTGTTCCACAAAGTTAGAAAAGCATCCATGTGAGCTGAAACAGTGACAGGCAGAAGGGCATGTGCACAGGGCAGGCACATGGGAAGTTCTTGGAACTTTCAGTAAAACACATCTTAGTCTGTTTTATTGCTGTGAAGAGACTCCATGACTGACCATGACAACGCTATGAAAGAAACCATTTAATTGGAGCTTGCTTACAGTTTCAGAGATTTAATCCATTTTCATGACCAGAGGCATGGCAGCATTCAGGCAGACATGATGCTGAAGAAGTAGCTGAGAGTTCTGCATCTTGATCCACAGGCAGCAGGCCTGGTGTCCGCTTTTAAAACCTTAAAGCCCACCCCAATGACATACTCCAACAAGGCCAGACTTTATCATTCTAATCCTCAAGCCACACCCTGATTTCCTAAGCATTTGAATGGCCTATGGTGGCCATTTTTACTCAAACTCACAGGTAATGCAATGAAGAGAAATGATTTAGCAGTCAGGAGCACCTATTGCTCTTCCTAAGGACCATAGTTTGGTTCCCAGCACTTAAGTCAATTGGCTTATCACCCTCTTCTGGCCTCCATAGACACCTGCACTCATTCACATAACCATAACCCCACACAAGAGATGTGCATATATGTAATTTTTTTAAGTGGGAAAAAATCCTCAGTAGCCTGTTCCTTCAAATGTTAAAACAATGGTTGAAGAGTTTAAATGAAGGTACCCTGTGTGCACGGAAAATGTTTCCAGAAGATGTGTTGGTGAAAATGCAGTGCCACAGGTGGACTGCTTTTCTTGGAGTTGTTACCCCTGGAGAACACCCCCAAACACACACCACATGCTATTGCCGGTGCAGTTAGTTGCTCACCAGAACTAGATGGTAAGGCTCCATTGCTGAAGATACTGCATGCTGTGCTTGATGACTGGAGAACTCGAGCTGAGACTGAGCTGGGAGCTTCATGGGTGACTATAAGGGCTGGGCAGGATGGCTGTTTGGGGTGTCATAGAATGTGTGGCTCCATGCTGAGCCCTAAGTAAGACACATGGACACATACCTCTCTCTCTCTCTCTCTCTCTCTCTCTCTCTCTCTCTCTCTCTCTCTCTCTCCAGGGCATTGGTAGCATGGATAGAAATAGTGGAAGAAAAGGAGGAACAACTCAAGTGTTTCTGAGAATGGTATTACTATTTTTCTCTTGAAAATGGTAACCTGGTCCTCCCTGCCTCCCAAGGATTTATAGACAGTTAATGTTAACTAGGTGGTGGTGGTTATTGTTAGCCAGAGCAAAGCTGTTTGTACAGTTCCTCTACTTTTGTTTGAATAATGATAATTCATTTAGTTACAGTCATTATTAAAACATATAATATACCACAATATTTCCCCCTTTCTTGTCTAAAATAAAAAGAGGCTATGACTTGTAGGAGACTGTTCATTCCCCGGCCACCCAAACTCCTGAAATAATCATACAGAAACCATATTAATTAAATCACTGCTTGGCCTATTAGCTCCAGCTTCTTATTAGTTAGCTTTATATCTTTGGTTAACCCATTTCTATTATTTTATATTTTACCACGAGGCTCATGGCCTGCCAGCAAGGTTCCAGCATGTCTGTCTCTGGTGGTAGCTCCATGGCTTCTCCCTGACTCTGCCTTCTTTCTCCCAGCATTCAGTTTAGTTTTCTCCACCTATCTCTATTCTGCCCTATCACAGGCCCAAAACAGCTTCTTTATTAACCAGTGATATTCATAACATATAGAGGGGAATCCCACATCAATAAGTAGTATGAGAAAAACTATATACAGTAAGTACAATAACTATATATGCAGGCAATAAATATATCAACCACGTCTAGTTCATTTGCATTTGTCAAATTCAGAGAAAGTGCTCCATATCCTATCTTGATAAGTTCAAAAGTTGTACCTAATTTACTTTTTATTCAGATTTGCATTACCAAATTATCTTAATGTCTCAACCTTTTTTACAGTTTACACCTCTATGAGTTTCTTTTCTAGTCTGGTAAACAGGGAAAACTATATGTACACTATAACAATAACTGTAGTAAATTGGTTCCTAGTCCTAAAGCAACTCAGTTTTTCTAGATGGTTGATTTCATTTCCCTAGGTGTCACCCAGCAGTGGCCAGCCAGGAGAAATGTTTGTCCACTAACATTGACTACTCACTAGTTACTATAGGAGTCAACTGTGTGGGCCTCCAAGGGAAGCAACACCCTCATTCCCCGCCCCTCTTGCCCTGTAACTGCTTCTCATTACAGAGTCCTTTCAAGTGTGTGTTGTCTCCTCAGTACAGGCCTGCACTATAAGTAGCTCCTTCCCTTGTCTTTCCATTTATGATGTTGACTAAAAATAGCCCTATAGGCCCATATACATGAATGCTTAGTCACCAAGGACTAGGATTCTTTGAAAGGGTTAAAAGGATTAAGAGGTGTGGCCTTGTTGGATGAAGCATGCCTTTGGAGGTAGACTTTGGAGTTTCAAAAGACCATATCAGGCTCAACCTTTGCCTTTTGCCTACTGTGGGTCAGGATGTACCTCTCATCTACTGCTCTGGAGCCATGTGTGCCACCTTGCTCCCACCATGATAATGGACTAAGCCTCTGAAACCATAAGCCATCCCTGAAGTAAATGCTTTCTTTCGTAAGAGTTGCCATGGTCGTGGTGTCTCTTCACAGCAATAGAACAGTGACTTAAGACACCACCTTCCATTTGATGTTCTTCTACTTCTTTCTCTGACCCTCACATTCTTGGTAGTCCTGGTCCCATGGAGTGAGACCACTAGAGACTATCTTCACCACTTTCCTGGATGTCCACTGCTGAGTCAATCTTGGGTTAGTGTGGTAATACATCCCCTTCTCAGGAAACTTCCTTTCTGGTCATTCAACAGATACCTATCAGAAATCTTGATGTTGGGTGGGGAAATCATTCTAATCTCTGCTAGAGGAGCAATGAAGACATTTCTGCTCCTGAAGTACTGTTTTATTGAGCAGGGCTGTTGGTGGGCCCTTTTATTTGGCTTTTTTTCTCTTTGTTTTCTTTTTGTTACAAGGTTTCTCTGTGTAGCCCTGGCTGTCCTGGAACTCACTTTGTAGACTAGGCTGGCCTCTAATTCATAGATCCACTTGCCTCTCCCTCTCAAGTGCTAGCATTTAAGGCATACACCACTGCCGCCCAGCCCATTTTCTGCTGAGAAGACTCCATTCTCACTCTTCCTCTTGCCATGGGTCAGCAACCTTCTATCCACTA